TAAACATTTTTTGTATATTTATATCTTACTTGTCTAATACACTAAATAAATTTATTATTAACCCGTCACTCGTCCTACAGCTCGCAGTGTATTTTAAACTTAGCTGTGTTTTCATCCACCATTTTTATTTTATTTTTTTTTTATAATAAAAATTATTAAAATTTTTAAAATAATTATTATCACTAATTTCAGGCTTCTTACTACGCTATGATTTCTTTTTATTTTCCCGATATGAGCGCGATGAGTTAAAGGTGCGATATATTCAAGTTAAGAAAACTGTAAATAAAATAATAATTACGACACAAAATGCTATTGATACTCGCTTAAAATGTTATAAATCATAATTATGTTCCGATATTAAAATCGGATAGACTTTATTGTTATCGTATAAGGCTGTAACACCGTAGTGTGGAAAAAATCTTGAATTGGCAAAGTTGTTATGTACGTATGTGAGGTTTGGGAGTTCAAGGCGAACTCTTGCGCAGGCTATAGCGGCAAATAATGCCTCTCCATTATAAAATGATCTCTACTCATGGGTTCTATAAGCTATTATAACCAACTTTTACGGAATAAAAGAATTAAACACTTTTTTAATTTAAACCCTCCATTATGGTAATAAGTTCGAATTGAACAATTGAAGTAGTAACATTGGACTTAAACCTAACTCCGTATTCCTTAATGCTTATACAGAAACAGAGTCTTTTTAAAATATACCATATAAGAAGGCCATATAATTTAGTAGCAGCAGAGCTCCTTGTGAAAGAGCTCGTCCAGGGCAGTACTGCCACCTTACATATTTCTGCCGCCAAGCAGTAATGTCAGCATTACTGTGAAATTACAGGCACATGGAACTTGTCAACGTATGTCTCAGGGTGACGGACGCAGCGCCAGTGCCCCTCAGATCTTTGCGATTTAAAGTTCTGAGTGACACTGCAACTGTTATGGACAGGCGTGTAGCTTACCATCAGGCGCACGACTTGTTCGTCCCGTTATAATATAGTATATAAGGCGCGGTTATTAATTTGAACTATAACATCCTAGTTTAAAAAATAATTAAGTAGTTAATGTAGTATCTTTAAACTTTAATATTTAACGAACCTGTTTCGTAATGTAGAAGACCGGAACACTTGGAACCCAGACAATTGTAAACTAGGCGTAAGTTAAAGTAAATAAACATTTCTCTACGCCTTATTTTATTAAATTTATCGTCAATATAAGTCTTTTAGAGCTCTTCTTATATTGGTGAACGAATAATGAACCTGCTTGCAGACCGCTAATATGTTCCGCAATTTACGACCTTTGAGTATCTGCTAATTTAAGAGGTGTATGTCTGTTACTTTGTTTTTAACATAAAAATAGATTACTTTACCTGTTTTAAAATTTACTCATGTTACCCATTTTTGCGCAGTTATCCTCTACTAAAGGATTAAAAAAGAGATAAAAACTTGTCCAATTGCTAAAGTACCATTTCAGATAAACAAACCTTATTTTTATCCGTGAGATAATTGTTTTACTCTACCAGTAGATAATATCTTTTTTCTTCGTGCTTAACTGACGAGTAGGATAGTAAACTTTATACTTTTTTCGGACTTTCAAGTAATAAATTGTATCACATACGACATCACGACAAAAAGCAAGATTCTTAAAGATTAAGGTAATAAATCTCAACTAATTAGAGATATGTACTGCAAAAAATAAATCCAGAGATAATCCCCGAGTAATGTGAACGTAAAGATTACAAGTTAAAGAGAAACCGGCGCGTGCGCACGAATTTATGTAGCGCTACGTCCATCTATTTGCTGCCTGTGACAGCTCGACGCACGCGATGCAAAAATACACGTGAAAATAGGTAAGTGGAACATATGGAACTTACATGCATAATGAGCTAACACAATACATAAGTATTAGGCGAAGAAAAGTGTTCATAAATATATTGGAGAGAAATAAACGTGATGCAGCATGAGCTGAGAGGACAAATGAAAATAAGAGATGGTTTTGTGACAATGCTGACTTCCTTCATCGTCATCCCAGCATCACGCCAGGAACTAAAAAGAGGGTAATACCTCTTTTATGGTTTCTGGCCACATATTTTTGAAATCTTTCTCGAAACCCTTTTCCTTCACTATTCTTATTTTTGTTCTATACGTTGTCACTTATAACAAAATTCTTGAAACGAGAAGACGTGCCCATAAATCACAAATACATAACATATTTTTTATAATAGCAGCAGTATATTTCCTTGTCGAAGAGTTCGTTCATGGAAGTACTGGCACTTTACTGATGGTATTGAAGGGTTAAGGGTGCTGGTGAAATTACAAGCACATGGAATTTGTCAACTCATGTCTCAGGGTGACGGGCGCAGTGACAGAGCCCCTCAGATCTTTGTGATTTAAAACGGCTTATAGCATTGACTTACAATTATATGGACGTCGGGTCCGCGCTAAAAAGTGTCCGAATTTATAGGGCGTTAAAATCGTATACAGAGCGTCATTCACGCTTTAGTCTTCGTTTGTTCGACTGACAGCGAAGCAAGCAAAATTAGACAGTACTGCGATGACATTACAATTTAAATTCAACGTTTTAGCTTTTTCATATTCCTTTACATGTCACTACGTTTAAATAGGTTGACTTGGGACATTTTTTTCGTGGTTTTTGTATTAGACCCGTCGTCCATTTATTTGTAAGTCAATGGCTTGTAAAGGGTTGTAGATGTGAATTACGTAACATATGATAAGGACGGCGTACAACTTCACATTGTCCGAAAACAAAAAAATACTATAAAGTACCCGAGATAGCTGAAATTACATAAACAATTGACCTTAGCTGTATAAAAGTTCAAGATCTTAATAATAATTACAACCCTGCCCTTTAATGAACGCTCGGTTTTAAAATACAGGTATTGTATCACACAGCTGCTTAAATAATTGCACTTTATCGGAGTTAGCATGTTATTCGCTATGAATTTTTGCTTTGTAAATGTGCAAAAACACTTACTCTAGTATATTAGACTAGTATATTGCGTGGTGTAGAAAAAGGTGTAGTGACAATACTTGTAACTTTTTAGCTTGTAGCTTATCGGCTTTTTGCGATTTCCGTGGGATCTGATGAGGGGTCATCAGATTCTGACTTCTTGGTGACAATGGGACTGTTACGGACTCCTTTGTACATTTTATACTTTTTTTTTTTGTTTGTCAAGGAAAATCTTAACTTTAGTGTTCTCCCCCCATATTGTTACTCTATGTAAATTTATCCACTTAAATAACATATATTTATAAATATTGTTTTGCTGTTTTGTTTTACATTCTCAACTGAGTACTCCCGTAGTCCAACTTACCAACACCGGTTAATGTCCTATTAGAGCTTAGCGAAAATTTTTTTTTGTTTCGTTTTTTTTCTTTCAACTGTGACATTGGCAAAATCATCAGTTCTCATATTGATGGAGCCATAAAAATAAAAAGTGAAGTGAAGTCTACTTTCATTTGCGGAAAAGATATTTTTAGTTTGTGATAGCCGAAACGAACCCGGAACAGCATCGCCGATATGAGGGACCATCTCGAGAGTATACCCTTTCAAATAAAATCAGATTTTTCAAAATCGGTACCCAATTGATGCAAAAATCAGTACCTGAAGGTACCGAGCCGGACGTATATGTAAATGAATAAGAGAAAAATAGGGATGCTTTCTGTTCTATTTGCTGATTCGGACATGTAGAGAAAATGAATGAAAGACGATTGACGAAAAAGATATATAACGCGAATGTGAGCGGGCAAGTTGGTAAAGACCAACCAAGGCGAACGTACCATGATCAAACTGAGGCCATCCCAAAGAAGGGCCAGATCTAGATTACCCGTAACCTGCGAGCGTGTATGAAAGCACTGACGCGTGTTGATGATGCGAAAGATATGTGTCGGGAATATAGCAAGTGGAAAACTGTTGTCTCTGCCTAACGCGATGGGGAAAAGGCGTGAAGTATATCTATGTATGTATGTATATATATTGCAGAATTAGTAGCAGTAGAGCTCCTTGAGAGAGTTCGTCCAGGAAAGTACTGCCACCTTTTCTATTTCTTGAAGGGTAAGGTTGCCGGTGAAATTACATACACATGAGACTTATCAACTAATGTCTTAGGGTGACGAGTTCAGATGTTTGCGATTTAAAGCTCTTAATGGCATTGCAATTGCTTTGGACAGGTGTGTCGCTTACTTGTCCGTGCCGACACTTGGTAAGTATCATAAGAAAGAACATAACAGCGATTCTTTTAGAAATAATGATCTATCAACTATAAATTGGATAAGTGTGAATCATAAAACAACAAATGAATATACTAAGGACATTTAAAATTCGTCAGCTAACAACTGAGTTATCAGATATTTCTTTATGAATGTAGGTACCTGTGTAGCAAGTATAAATTCAGAAACTATAGCCCCTAACAACTCCGCATGAACCATAAGCGTAGTAAATCAGAAACTTGATAACCACGATAAAGGTGCTTACGGTAGCCAACGTAACAACCGAAGTATCAAATGGCATAACACTATTGCACGATCAAATACACGTAATGATGCGTGAAGCTGTTGCAGCGAATTAACGCATGCTTAAAAACGCTCCGATGCATTGATTGCAAACCTTCATGATAAAGCAAGAGACAAAAAACTTAATCGAAATGTACAATGATCACCTTGTAATTGCCGTAATTACTTTATTTCACTGTTTATCGATGTGTGACAAATATCAATAGGGCTAGATTAAAGATTAGATTGAAGACGATGCCACCACGTGTATGAAGCAAGATAAGCTAGGAATTTAGACTCTTTAGTAATTATTTTGTTTAAATAGCTTTATTTTCAAATTACTTAAATACGGAACGGTCTTTAGATGTCAATGAATTTCCAAAAAATCGATACTTAATATTCAATATGAAGGCTATAAGTAAGTTTTTAGGCAGCAGAGATTATGTCAAGATTAAGATAGAAAAATGAATCATGCAAAACCGCACTAACCAATTTCAACATCCGTGTTCCGAAGTAAGAGCTGCTCACACGAATTGCCAGCTACAAAAGCCTAATAATCTAGTTCTAATTGAACCATCAACCGTCCACAGCACACACACTCACTTTTACCAAACTAATTATCGCGGGGGACCACTCGAGCACGAGACGAGAGTTTGTTTTTATGTTCCGCCACGCGTTTGTTACGAGTTTCGACAATTGCTGCACTTGTTCACAACGCGATTCAATTCTTATTACAAATTTCTAATTTGGCTTTCGTATATGATATATTTATTAATTTTATAACACACGATAAGGTTTTTTGGTCACGATAAAAGTTCGAGTTGGCGGAGCGACGATGCGACACAATCAACTTCGACAACGGCTGGCGCGGCACTGGCTGGTGAGAAATCGAGAATGAATCTAGTGGCTCGCCTGCGTCGTGCCTCTCGCTCGGACGCGCAATCTCGCAGATTGCCCCAGACCATTTTCTGTCTCGACCTCACGCACCAAAACCTTTTTGTTGCTCCAGGTGGATTTCGAATCCCACTTCACACAACAAAGATATTACACAAAAAGGATTATATAGAAAATCCAATCTATATCGGTAGTTCTAATTTATGCACCGGTTAACGAGATAAACGTGACGGAGCTACTCCTGCAGTGGATTTGGAAAACAATAGGCCGGCCACTGAATGCGCTAAAACAAAGGCAAACTATAAAATTAATGGGCACTGAGCACATGAAGTCGATGTAAAACAAAATAAAGGACAGACAGTTATACAACAAGTTAACAGTTGATACAACAATGACTCACAATATGAGCAGTTTAAATAATTAGGGCTATATTCAAGGAACGTATTAAGTCGATTTAAAAAATAGGTACGTGCTGTAGTTGAACATTATATCATCTAAAGAAATAGCGTCAATAAAAGATGATAAACCCGCTAATGCAGCATGTGTCTACACAAACAGAAGAAATCTTTAACATAATCTTGATTATATAGTCATGTGACAAATGCAGATGTAAATTTTCCACATCTGTCATCATCACACAGATAAGATTGCGGATGTGGAACTACTGAGATGTTTTGAAATGTAACTAATCTCGGAATTACCCATACACTTGAGCACATTCTTGATGAACAAGCGAAAAGCGAGATATCGATCTATATACCTTTTGAATGTGTATAGGAGAAATATACCTCCTGATGTCATTGACATAATTAAATTGAATACACAATACAACTACATCAACCCACTCATGCTAGGGACACACGGAAAGTATCAAAGAACAACTTTCTTTGTTGATCGTTACGTCTTAAGACATGCAAGAGGGCAAGAAGAAATAGAAATTGTGTTCTTAGATTTTCGCGATTGTTACACATTGAAAATGAAACTGTTTTTCGATTCAGGCTTGACCTTGGACCAATAAAGAGCCTGAACCGTTATTAGTTTTAAAAAGCAAATATGCGTGATGTAGATCCGAGATTTTTTTTCAATGTCAGGACGAACAAGTCGTGGGTTTTATGGTAAGCGACACGCCTGTCCATAACAGTTGCAGTGTCACTCAGAGCTTTAAATCGCAAAGAACTGAGAAGCACTGCGCCCGTCACCCTGAGGTAAGTTAACATAGCGCTTGTGCCCGTAATATCACAAGCACTGTAATATCAATTCCGAATCCGAGAAATGACGGTCCGAAATGTCACAACAACCCTAATTAAAATCTGTAATTTCGAAAACTGTTGAGATAAACTTTTGTTACGATTACAGTAGCAGGAAAATCGCATCATTTGATTTGCTCGTAACTTTGGATGGTTTCATTCAGGCCTGCACATCCCTTCACGATATTGGCCTTCATTTAATAAACTCCTCAAAATAAATGGAATTATCAAACTCTTTACCACTACCTAGTCGTGGTTCAAAGATGGGGTCTATGATGGAACACGCTCGCCTATTAGATGCCTATTCAATCGCACTTTAAAGACATTCAGGTTTGGGCTCGGAAATACAGACGCAAGCTGGGTATTTCATTCTTTGGAATATTTACCAAATAAGGCGGTACGTCTAGATGGTAAAAAGGGGCGAGTAGAACGAGCTGGTGGAGCGCACGTGCACGCTCTCCTGCACAATCTGGCATATAAAATGTTGTAGTCAAAGTGGATGAAAGTTTCAGCTTCATAAATTTATAGTTATGCTATGTTATTCTTCGTTAAACAAAAGTTTTTGTGTCAACCAGTGTTGTTTAATTTCTTACATGTTTTGGAACTTTTGATACTCGCGTAATACGTAAGTATCTTTTGTTTATAAGGCAATTTTCGTAGTTTTTTAGATCATTGAGATTTATTATCGGTGTGTTCGTAAACTACTCAGAATTATCATAAATTGTAAGTTGTTTACGAACGCATCTATATTAGACAGTAAAGCAACACAGAGATGAAGATAAATTTAAAAAATTTACCAATTACTGGTTCAAGTTCGATTTTTCTTGAGCGAACTAGCTTGAATGAAAATGTAACTTTCGCATCAAAAATTTTCCTTTTCAGGTAACGAAACATAACTTTCGACTAATGAGCCGGCCACACTGCTGGCAACCTCTAATTAGATTATTTCTTTTGCACCTGATCACCTATCAGACAATATAAAAAGAATTATCCCTATTGAAAATATTCTATTGTATGTAGTACCAACATGGCCAAATAAAAGCTGAGGATTTCACATAAAAGTATTGTGCATTGCAGTCGAGTGAAACGTATCAAATTTGCAGTTCGTTGCCCGATTCAGGTTTTTGTCTGTCAATCGACAAGTCATTAACTCTGGGTGACCCGTGAACAATTTCATTTTGAGAAACAAGCAGTTCAAAAACCTAGGCCAGGAAACAAGCTAAAAAATAAGATACGTGTCAAAATTATCTCCGCTTATACGAGTTCGTAGAGTAACGGAATTCAATCTGCGTCACTACGACACCCATGAACATCCAGACCAAAACCAATATAGAAAGGTTCACTTCCCAAATTGACACATTCAGCGCCCACAGCGTAGGCAAACCGTTGAGCCACCAAGATAACTTACACGTAAAAAAACCAAATATATAAAACTTAATACACTTGCTTACTTACTACTAACTTAATACATTTTGTTTACAAAAGAAAATAAATAAATAGTGCTGTATAAATAAAACAACACAATTGAATAAATAGAATCAAACAATAATAACATAAAGTCGACTACTAAAGTGTGAAAAGAAATCTTTCTAAATTCTTTCATACTTAATTTACAGAAAATAGAATAAGCTTAATTGTCATTAAAATCAAAATTAAAAGACACATTGGTGTTACCACAAGAAACCAAAACAATGTCTTCGAAATAATCGAAGAAGGAACACCACAAAGGGGAGGAGGTTATAGTCCGTAGGCCTCTGGGTACGTTCCCAGTTAGGAGTCGGACATAACCATCAGGTCCGGACCTTTCGTATCCATGGGGATTTCCTCCTTCCCTCGAAAAACAAAAAAACCTACAAGTAGAATAAAATTAAAAACAAATACAAAAATTTATAGAAACACAATATGACATAAAATAAATTATCGAAATTAAGATTGATGATCTTAAGACAGAATTATTGCATACCATTGAACAGCAATGTGTATTGTTTTGCCTCAGCAAGAATTGAAACCACGCAAATTCTTTGTTTGAAATGCCCAAACAAAAAACATTTCTTTCAAAAGCATCATTGAATTTCGGAATTTTTTGTGTAACAACAATGAAGAAGCCGCAAAATGTGTCGCCCTTACTCGAGTATGTTATTTTAGTAGGCAGTAGAACTCCTTGTGAACGAGTTCGTCCAAGGTACTGCCACCTTATCTATTGCTGCCGCCAAGCAGTAATGCTCACATTACTGTAATCCAATTTTGAAAGCAAAACGCCGCCGCAAACAAACGCTCACGCCTAATAGTGCTGGTGAATTTACATAAGCACATGGGACTTGTCAACTTATTACTCAGGGTGACAGCCGCAATGGCAGAGTCCATCAGACCGTGTATTATAAAAAAAAACACCGAGCGAACGTTTCAATTCTGTAGTAATAATAATAACAACAATACTCAATAAGTGTACTCTACATTCTCGTTGAGACATCCCGGTCTTCGGTCTCGCCGAGACAGGACGAGACCGAGAGTGGCTCTCCACATTCTCGCCCGCACAGTTGTTCGTTCGGTTGTCATACAAGATGGACGTGCTAGATACGTCTGTTGCTGCATCATTATGTGCTATAGCATATTACAATTTTTTGTTAATTCGAAAACAAAACTTATTAAAAGATGTTGGAATAGATGCAGATGGTGGATGCCATCAGTACATCGCAACTGAACACTGCGGTTACCGCTGGCGGACTGCCGTGACGGGAATGTGGAGGAAAGGGTCTCGCGCAAATATAAAACTACACGAGAGCCCTTTGATTCCGGTCCGAAATACCGACACGAAGTGGAGACCACACGAACATAGGTGAGACCTAACGAATATGTCTACACTACACTCTCGTATTTGGCTGTTCTCGTGAAGTTTTAGCAAAAATGTGGAGCGGGCTTTACACGGCGCGTGGCGATTGTGTACATACGAGACGCGCTGCTACATTTGTATGGAGTTACCATATTTGGTCTTATCTTATAGCAGCTTACAGGTCATTAAATATCATATAAAATCTAAAAAAAAATTAAACCGGTTTCATAGCCTGAACGTATTCGATGAAGTCTGAACATCAACCTCGTTTGAACTCATATTGTTGTAAGCAAACATTAACGCGTCCATCCGATGTTCGTTTAGGGAAAAAACCAGACACGCATCCGACCATACAATTCACTTTTAGTACAGGTGAATGTTATGCGGTTGACAGAAAAATCAAGTTAGTAAAAACATACTCAACGGAATCAATCACAACAAGATTACATTCATTTAAATGGATGCCGTAACCATTGTGCCTGATATTCTCAGAATATGTTACAAAGAAACAAGTTCTATATGATCACCTACAACATTTTGTTTAATTAAATTTTTATTGAATTGATATTCAATTATTTTTTGTGAAATTATTCCACTATTATTCTGAGTGTTCGATCTTTGTATTAATAACTATAACAAACTAGTGGAGTAACTTCACAAAAAATAATTGAATATCAATTCAATAAAAATTTAATTAATACAGTGAATAGCGACATCTCTCGCCAGGACTGGTAGCTGTAAAGGTACTAGCTGGGTGATAAATCTATCATAGATTTCCCATAGATGGCGCTACGACTAAAAAGTCGTTGAAAGACCAAGTACAAAGACACGACGCAAGCACATAGAAAAATTCGTGAGGTCCGTTGGTTCGTTCCGTGGCTTAGTTGGTATAGCGTCTGCCACGGTATGCAAGAAGACGTC